TTAGTGACGTTGAACATCTCCATGTTGTTTCTAGCTAATAGTATGTCATTAACGTATAAGGAGAGAAACATAAGTAGTCAAGAGTACACATAATGGTCTTTATCTACCATGGATAAGCCAAACGAAGTAATGACTTCGTGGAATTTGAAATATCATTGTTTGAAAGATTACTTGAGACCATATATGGATCTTTTAAGATGATAAACTTTATTTTCTTGACATTTTGAGATAAACCCAATAGGTTGATTCATATATATTTCTTCCTCAAGCGTACCATTGAGGAAAATAGTTTTAACATCCATTTGAAATAATTCCAAGTCCAAATGGGCAACTAAGGTTAGAAGGAGGCAAATTGAGGCAAATCTCACTACAGGAGAAAAGTTTCTTTATAGTCTATACCCTCAATTTGGGTAAAATCTTTCGCCACTAACTGGACCTTAAATTTTTCAATTAATTGATCCGCTCCATGTTTTAGCTTAAAAACACACTTGTTTATAATTGATTTATGTCAAGGCGAGAGATCAACTAGTTCCCAAACCTTATTTCTTGTCATTGAGTTCATCTCAGCTATCATGGCGTCAATCCACTATTTACTATTCGGTGAATTCATAGCCTCCTTAAAGGAAGTGGGTTCCTCAAGTTCTAAAAGAGTGCATAGAAAGAATTTTTCTTCGATTTAGAAATATTGTTGAGGAAATTTTCCACATTTACTCCTTTGAATTTTAGAACCTTCATCACCTGTCTGATTAGATGATAAATCTCTCCCACTGTCCCTTAGCGTGGGATTAGAAATTTGAAGACCAACTTCATATTTCAAGATTGAATCTTGAGGACTAACCCCATTTTTTAGTAGATTATCATTTGTAGCCAAGTTTCTACCATCTAAAATAATAGGATAACTCCTATTATCTCTTTTATTTGGTAGAACATCACTATCTTTGGTGACTTGGTAGGTTTTTAATGCCTCCCTTTCAACAATAGATAGTTTGTATGTCCTCCTGTAACTCATACAGTTCGAGATTTCCTTTTATTTCACCAATGTATGGGAACTCATCCTTAAAGAAATCAACATTACAGGAGTCAATTTTGGTCATGCCACCATTCGGGTGTTCTCTAAACATTTATATCCTTTTGAATATTCGGGATATCTAATGAACACCATCTTAGTTGTTCTTGGACGTAGTTTTTCGTGCTTGTGGGTTAGATTATGCATATAGTCTATTGACCTGAAGGACATAAATGATCCAAAATGGCCTTCTTGCCATTCCATAACTCACATGTAGTGACATGTACATTTTTACTTGGTACACAGTTGAGGATGTAGATTGTTGTAAGCAATGCATCCCCAAAAATTATTAGAGAGGTTGGCATGTGCCATCATCGATCTAACCATGTCTAGTAATGTACGATTTATTCGCTTTGCAATACTATTCTAATGTGAAGTATAGGGAATTGTAAGTTGCCTACGTATACTTCTTTTTTTTCAAAAATTATTTTTTTTGAAAC